GATAGAAAAATGACACAAAAATCTGAATTGCATAATTTGACTCCCCTTTTTTCAGTTCTAATGCAACTTCAAAGTGTTTTCCATCATTAAACAGTGAAGTTTGCATTTTCTGATGTCAATAGAAGCTCGTAAAAGTACACATTGGAGGCATTGCAAGGAAAGAAGGTGTTAGATATGCTCAATACTTGGTTAGATTACAGAGACGATTGAACAGAAGTGATGCATCGGCTTTATGCCTTGTTTCGTTTCTGCTATGGGCTGAATTAAGCTGTTGCCGTGACAACTCGGAAGTAATGATAGGGTCATCGTCCTCTAGAATATGCAAAGAGTCGGACACGTGCGATCTCTTCACGTGGGTCAGCGTGACCCAGTTGAAGGTTTGTTTACCGCCAGAGGGTTGTGTTATGCACGGGGGCCGCACTCTTGTTTTACAAATCCATCCCTTTTTTATTTCACTTGACAACTTGATTAGGTAATTGCAGACGTGGAATCTCAGAAGACAGAGCGCAGCTTGCGGCCCAGTTGCTGCATTGATTGTCTTCGTGTGCAGCTGCATTTCATGATCAGAGACATGCAATTTTCTTCTTTACACTTTTGTGTACCGTAAAGTTGACTTTCTGAAGAGGCAGAAGTTGCTATGTTCATCCATCTTCCTCTGTCAGCAAATACTGTGAGATAAATTTATTTACTTGTTGATTTACGTTGGGAGCTGTCTTTATAGAGGTGCAGCATTGAGTGAATTACTTTCAATTGCGCATGTGGAGATGTTTGTTTTGAGATTGAGGGCGGTGGCGCCTAAAGTTGATGTAGTTTCGGTCGTGCGCTTGTTGAGATCAATTGACAACTGTTTGAACCAGGCATTGTTGCTAATTTAGGCGTAATTGACATTTTGGTAGCATTGTCAGGTTCATTTTATTGTCTAAAACGTTTTCCAGATTGTTCATATGCTGAAACAAGGTTGTTATGATGGCTATGTGTTAATTTAGGTGAGTCGTACGTAGCTTTTCTTACATGTCGACCAGGAAGCATTTGAGGAGCTGATGTGAATCACTTAAAAAGAGGTGTGCAGTTGAAGGACATAGAAATTCTTTGTCAGCAGTTGATGAAATCATCTTGAGCAAGGGTCGACGGACATTGAAATTCTTTGTCAGCAGTTGATGAAATCATCTTGACCAAGGGTCACCATCACAAAAGCTTTTCACAGGGAACAGTTTACTCAAGAACATGCCTTCAAGATGGAGTCATATCATGATAGGCATCTTTCAAACATGTCTGGGATTGTTCAAAAGTTTTGGCCAAGCTGCACAGAGCTCTGGAAGTAGACTGCGACAGGTTGCTTAGTTTGAAGAACACAAACAAATTCTCCAGCTCCTCAAGGGTTCCCTGAACCTTAACACTTAGCTTCTCCTTATTTCCATTCAGGAGTAAATACCTCAGATAGAAACGATCTTTTGAAGATGCAATGAAGTGTCCTTCTGACTGGGAAAACCGATGGGCAACATACGATCAAGCTGTGTTGTGGTATGTATCCGTTCATGCTGGGAAAATTGTCTGTTTGACAATACAGAGGCATGATAGTGGTAATTTGAGGTATAGAATATGAGCATAATCATATGCTGTGCCATCCAAAATTTCTGTTCTTTTAAGACTGTTGCAACTGCTCTCTTTGAGCCCTTTTCATAATTCTGTATTACTCTCCAAGCCTTTTTTTTTGTAATTTTGATGAACTTCCTATTTTATCAACTTTTCTTTGGGTATACAGTAGTTGCCAAATGTTAGTGAAAATAGCCCAACAAAATGCCGAGTTTTTGAAAGCCCATAACAGGTCTAACCTCTGCTTGGAGAGTGCTTCTTTGTATCTTCTCATACTTTTGTCATTATATCAAACGCTTAACTTAATATCTGCACTGTAGGGAGGGATTGCATAGGTCAGTGACCACTACATGTGCATGGCAGTCACATGGAACCATTGGTCAGTTAACTGGAGCGTGATAAACAAAGTAGACACTGATCTATTAACTTAGCGATTAATCTAGGACACTGACAGATTCACTTGCAATACTTGATAGGCTGTACTAACGCAATTACCTGTTTGCTGGAAAGACCAGTAGGTTGCTGATGAGCTATTAGTATTAGCCTGATGAATATTTTGACAAATATTTATACCAAAACACACAACGAAAGTTCAGCTACACTGGGGAGCTTTCGAGACGCACTCTGTCTCCTCTTCAACCCGGTTAAGATCTCGTCTTGGAGTTCTCTTGTCACGTGACGTGACTCATGAATATTCTTACTAACACAACAATATTAAGGACCATATCAGTTTAGTTTGTTGGGTCTCAGATTTAAGAAAAATATTGTTAACCTAGAAAATCAACATGATTATATGATGATGATCTCTTAAATCATGATCTCTTGATTTTTGCAAGTATCACAATTTATAGCTTGTCTGACAAAATGTTCTATAACTTATATATAAGATATTCCTTGGATAGAAACAATTGAAGGTTGTACTATGAACTGTTCAACTGAATATACCGTACGGTAGGCCCAAACTGTCTATCACACAAGTATGTGGTCTGTTCCATTGGAATTGTGTATCCATGACTTGTTATAAGAAAAGTGTCAGGTAGAGTTAGTTGTTCCAACTGCACCTGTTCTTGTGGCAGTCTGACATGCAGTTAATTACACTAAGGAGCTGGTGATAGAGTAGGAGTATAACCTGTCAGAATAATGGATAGGAATTTTAGTTGTTTCACTGTGAGTAGGAATATACCACTTGAAAGCTGGGGATGCTGTTCACTTTCTTACAAAAATGAATATAAACTGTACAAAATAGCAAACTTCAGATAAAGTAACTTTTGAGTTACTCATTTGAAATAAGTCTAGACTTTTATAAGCTGAAGTTCAACTTGGAAGTATTTAAGTTTAATCTTTGGTCATCCCCACGTAATGATTTGGTACATGCCATCCTTATACCAGGCATGAAGTGCTATGGTTCTGTTAGTAAACAAGGACCTCTCCTCCAATGCTTTGACCTCACAATTACACCAGAGAGGTCCTCAAATAACCTTTCCTCTCATAGGAAAATGGTATACCGTAAATTCCTTTAATTTTGCAGTGGTTTTATTTTTGTGGTAGGGGGGGAAAAGGTTTTTTTACGGTGTTTGAAGTTCGCCTAAAGCATGTATTCGCAGTGACATGATCAATAGGCCACAGCAGAATTTGCGAAATTAAAATCACCACGACATTTCAATATTTACAGTATTCATAGAACCACTATCTTTTTGTTTTTTCTATCTTTTACCCAAACCTCCATTCTGGTACAACTCAACCCTAAAAGCACCTTGAAATGTTGTTTTCCTGTCCTTGCGGAGTCTGTGTTTCTTCCTCTGACCCAAATTTTTTCTTCTAGATATTTGCGGATAAAGAAATGAGGTCAGGAATTAGATGCCCCCAGGAATTTTTGTGGGCAAAATATTTTGAAGGATTGTCATTTTTATCCATGACACCTGTCTCTTGTAAGCAACACTTGACACGTTCTGACAGATTCAAACTGGTCTTGATGTAGTCCCAAATCAAGCATATCTATTAGTTTATAACGGAAAAGGCTTTTCTGCAATAACAGTTTGACGGAAGACAAATATGACGAAGAAATTGATACTATTTGCATTGTTTCAGGGATTAGAAGTACATCAACATGTTTACCAGTGAAGAATGCTGTTTAAATACCTGTAATTCATTTACGTGTTGAAAAACACCTGAAACTTTTGGTGCAATCCATTTACGTAATCATTCAAACTGCTGTCAAATTAGGTTTGAGAGGGAAGACTACTTTTGTCCAAGTTTGCATGGAAAGACTTTAAAAAGTACATTATGTCGCTGTAAATAGTACCTGTAACTCATTTACCTACATTGGAAAACACCTAAAACTTAAGGTGTATTCCATCTACTAGTTATACAGCTCCAAATCTAGGTTTTTAAGAGCGAAGGCTGTGTTTGTACAAAGTTTGAGTGGAAAAATTGTAAGCAGTATGTTGCATTTCACCTCTCAGTTAACAGGTGCGATGCTCCCTTAGTACGAAGCTATTACTGAACTGATCCGCTCTGGAGACCCCCCAATCTACCGGCCTGGCGGGGATCTGTTTCGCACACCAAGAATTCCAGCCTTGTAATCATGTCGGATCACTTTCCTGAACAGGGAACATGTTATCTGTTCAAACATCAATACCTGAGACCGGCCGGGTCATGCGTATCCGCCAACCAAGCGCCAACCGCCCTCCCCCCTCATGCTACCATAGAGGGCGCTGGACCACCTGACACCCGGCTTGCCAAGCTGCCGGCTACCCACTTAAAGAGTCAGAAGTCGGGGAATAATCTGACATTTCTTATACACAAGGCTTTTCAGGCCTTACAGTTGGCTTGGTAGGGGGCATCGCCACACAATTAACAGGTTGCTTAGTCGGTAGTGGGATCTTTCTTCTAGCCTTGTAAGCATTGACTCCCCCTTTGTTCTGCCTGACATCCTAAACGTTAGCTGAGGGCCTTAAGTGCCGCGCCGGACGGGGTAAATTTGCATTCTGTTTGGAGGACCCGTAGGCAGGGGTATGCACCAATAGGTGCCTGTTTGAGGATTTCGCGCTTTGCCCTGCAGGAATGTCGGGCTGATCTACTGAAACTATGGGTGGAGTAGAGCAGAGAAATGTTGAGGTACACCTGACCGAAGAGGTCATCTTTCTGTCCCTCAACTTCTCTCCGTGTTTGCTTTGAGTCTGTGTCCTGCACTCACAGCTTTGTGACACTGTTTATGCCCCCTTTTACAGCCCTGTACGTCAGCGCCGAATGGGAGAAATGGTACCACTTTTCCCACCTGTTATGTGTAGTTCTCTCCTGTTTTGTCAACAGCCAATCCCTGTATACAGCCTCGGGATATGTTGTTTAATACACCTTTAGAGAAAGTCCGTTCGCCTGGCTGACCTGTGCGTCTCTTTTGTTCACAGCTAGAAGACAGTGTGCCAACCTGGGACACGGATCACACAGCAGTCGGTGAGTTCAAGTTTATGTTTTGAGTTAGTTAGTTTTCTCAACCCCTTTGCATGCGTGCAGTTTTGTAAACCTACCCGGTGTTTAAGAATGGCATGTTTGCTGGAGATCGTGCCTGATGGTAAAGTCGATGAAGCTAGTGCTACGCTCGTGTGAGTCAATTCTGTAAAAGCTGAAACTCCGAAACCACAGGTAATGATTTTTTTCTTGTGTTATCTTTGTTGTAAATGTGTTTTTGAGCAATGATTTGAGACTACTTCAAGAAATGTTGACTAAACATTTTGAAGTGTAACTTGACTGACAAGTATGTGAAACATAACAGGTGTGTGTGAGTGTGGATAGCTTGCACCAAGGTTACCAGAAGTTAGAAAATATCTCATAAAAGTCATATATCTAAGAACTAGAATTTATAGAGGCAATATTGTCAAAGGACTGTCTAATATAGCTTTGCTGGCAAAACTTATGATGTATTCCGTACACAAAGATATCTTGTTTCCTTCTTGCCGAAGTTCCGTGTAAAGCCAGGTCACATGTGAAGAATTACTTTCCTACATATCATGTAATTTGAATACATTGGTATTTTGTTTCCTTCTTTTAGAGTTCAGTCTAAAGCCAGGCTACAATATAATGAGAACAGCTTTTATTCCTAAGTGGAAACGCAGAGAAAAATGGCAGATTAACTAGACACCCTTGAAAAATGTCCTGTATTTCAAAGGGGGGAGGGGTGATTTGGGACATGCTTGAGTGTCACATGGTTGATAACGTGTTGTGTGTCAGGTGCCAAATTAGCCCCAGGAAATTGCCGGTTTGAGATTATATAACAACCTGAGGACAGGGCAAACAAAAACACCCAATATGTCTTTTCCCTCATGAATTTCATATGAATTCAACAATGAAGGAGTAGTACAATCAATTCACCTTGTTTAAGGATAACAATATCCGATTTCCCTTGGGGTTATTTTTAGAAAGGACGTATGCAAAGTACGGGTACATTCCTACTATAGTATACACTTTGTCCTACCTTGCTTTACCATACTGAATGAAATACTGTAAGTGCAGTTAATTTCGATTTTTTTTTTCGCAGCAGGAGGAAAAATTATGATTTCACTCTGTTTTGAATTTGTAGTTGAAGCAATTCTGTAGTACAGAAGGAACATATTCACAGGGTCGTGAATTTGGAGTGGAGAGGTTACCGCAAAAAGCGTCAAATTAAACCACTGCAAAAGCATCTATTTAGTATTTACCATAGTCCTTTTACATATTTTTTCCTAAAACTGTTGTAGAGTAGAACTATCTGCCACTGAGTAAAGTAGGGGCATCATCATTAGATAGCTTTGTTGAAAGTTAGATGTTCTAAGGTAAGGTATAGCAAGTCATTCAGTTTGATATAGCTAGCTGCCGCCACGCTGCATGCCTGCGAAGCTGGTGTGTTACACTGAGGGGCGATTATACCGTCTATACAGATATAGATACCAGTATAAGTGCAGTTACTGTCTGCAAAGGGATCCAACTAGAGACAGGTGGTAATGTTGTGTGACAGGTGTCACCTGTGGTGTCAGGCTATCATCGAGTCCTCTTTGCAGAGGACCAGTTAAATATGCTCTCCTGTATTAGGATCGCATAACTGTGCAAACAGAATAGCTGACATGTTTTTACAGGGAATCATATCGCTGATATAGTATTAGTACAAGCTATTTATGTTTAGGATTTGGTATTTTCCAAAAGATGTCATGGTAAAGGAGGAGGGGCAACTTTACCTTAACTTTTGAATGGTATAACCTTTCAAAAATCTGTTGACTTTTACAGCAAACAGAATAGGTGACATGTTTTTATAGGGAAAGAAATCTCTGATTTAGTACAAGTTGTTTATGTTTAGGATTTTTGATTTTCCAAAAGATGTAATGGTTAAGAAATGGCAACATTGCCCTGACTTTTGAATGGAATAACCTGTCCAAAATCTGCTGACGTTTACAGCAAACAGAATAGGTGACAAGATGTTTTTACAGAGAATAATATCACTGATTTAGTGTTAGTACAAGCTATGTATGTGCAGGATTTTGGATTCTCCAAAAGATGTACAATCATGGAAAAGGGGGAGGGGCAGCATTGTCCTGACTGCCCTCTTAATTTTGAATGTTGACTTTTACAGCCCCTATGAGGTTTGGGTAGTTTGTCACAGGTGTCAATCTTAAGAGATAAGCTTAACGACTTAATCCTTTAACGGGATTAACTCACAAGACAGAGCAAACAATATTGCACATGTACGTCCTAATTTGTACCCCACACAGGTTTCATTACCTTGTCTCTGATCATCTAGGGTAAAAGATTGAATGAGGGGACAAAAGTAACAATTGAAGGATAATCCTGAAAAATGTGCTGATGTGTGTTCTCTACCTGATAAAGCACTGGACTGGCTTTATGATATTGAACACAGTTTACTGGTAATGACCATAGCTTCCAATTAGTTTTAGCCAAAAAATGCAATAGGAAGGAAAGAAATTTATCAGTATGACATTGTGTATGCCTTTTAGCAATACTAGAACTTGAGTTTAAGTTAAAAGAGGCTAATTATATTATATAACATGCCAATTTTTTTCCCTGTTGATCGACCACTTAGTCTAGGATTAGACTATACCAATTTGCACACCTGTGTATCAGGTAATTTGAGGTAAAAAAAAATTGGATGAGGCAAAGAAGAAACAACAACTGCAATTAAATTTGGTCTGTAAAATCTATGAGTAAAATGTGTAGTCTTGTAATGATATTTGAGCTGTAAAATCTCTTTTTTTTGTCCTTAAAAAATGCAGTGAAGATGAAAGAGACTCAGCACCTAAAATACTTACTAGTAGTAGGTTTTGTAACCAGGCTATAATAATATAAAATGTGTGTATCAGTTCAAGTTCCTCTTAAACTTCCTAACTCAGTTTTGCCATAGCTATCTTCAGTTGGGAAAGTCAGAGGGACAATCATGATGTAGCTGTGATTGAAGGCTGTTTTTTTAATGATTGACAGTTAGGGTTATGAGAGAGATTGGAAGGAGGTGTTGAAATTTCCGGAGGGGTGGGTTGGGTGTTCCACGTGTAACACCTAACGAAAACTAAAAACATGACAAACTCATGATTCATCACACTTCAAAGAATGATCTGTCTGCTTCTAAGTTCGGCCCGAAATTCTATATGGTTACGTGTGTCTTTGGCACATGTTTGTGTGATATTTGTTTGTTTTATTCTGCTTCATTTAACACTGGTTCATTGACATTGAAAGACGAACAAACTTGTTCGAAATGTGGCTCAGGAAGTTTCCTCCTCCCTCCGTACCTAGAAAGTCGCCGGACCGTGTGATGACTTTGTTTGGCAGGTTTACCTGGGAACTGGAGCGTGAACAACGGCTAAAATAAGTACAGCGCAAAATGCTTAAACTGTCCACCTGTTAACATATAACTCCCTTAAAGTTTTCCTGAATTGACTTCAGGTATTATATATTATGTACAAATCTTCCTTATTTCTAAAGGTATACAAATTTTTATCAGGATGGAGCCAGTGTTTCAGGGTTTGTTGCCTTTAGTTCTTTGTCAGCTTGAATGTTTTGGAGCCAAATACAGGTAAACTAGGTAAGTAAACTGCACCTGCAGTTACTTTTTTTTATAGGGTCTGTTTGAATGTATAAAAACTCCATAAAAGTTTTTACTCCATAAAAGCAATTATAGGAATTACAGGAACTAGATATGTTATACTCCCCCAAAAATTAGTCCTTTTTAGAATGTGCTTCAGTGACAGTCTTTTGACGTCTGTGACACATGCAGAAAGATATGTAAATATGATAGTCTGGCCGCTTTGTCCAAGATGGCTCCTGTTCAAAACTTTCCCTTGTGGCATCGTGGGTAGTAAGATCTGCCCCACCCCCTTCCCACTAGTCTTCTGGCCCCCCATTGTATAGTTTTGATACACCTAATGCTACGTGGATCAAAACGCCAACACAAGAAACAAGAGCATCAAGGCATAGCTAAGGTATGAATCACCAACTCAGCTCTCCTTGGGAAATGGCTTAAATAAACCATCCTTGGTGGCACCTTTTTAGTGGTAGACAGAGGAATTTGTCCTTTTCATCAGCAAACAGTGGGCCTTTCACTTGTCTTGTATGGCAACACGAAGAAGCAAGGCATAAAAGAAGGAAGTTATGCTGAAGTGCTGAGTTATGTTTTACCTACAGTGATGCCAGGGTTATCAACCAAGGATTGAGGTGTTCAAGAACTTGTTCTTTACTAGAACTATCGCAGAGTGGAACTCGCTGTCACCAAGTACAGTAGGGGCATTATCATTAGATAGCTTTAAACAATATTTACAGTTAGATGTATGTTAGATGTCGAAAAGGTTGGGTGTAACAAGTTATTCAGTGTAATGTAGCCAGCTGCCGCCGCGCTGTGTGCCTGCAAAGCTGGTGTGTTACACCAAAGGGCTGTCATAGCGGCTATACAGATACAGAAGCTGGTGTGTTATGCCGAAGGGTGGTTATACCGGTTACACAGATACATCTGATACAGATACTGATACAGATACAGTGCTTGCGTACTGTGTGCCTGTACCCATCTATACCACATGTCTGTCTTAAGTCAGATGTCAAGTGTCGGAAGTCTTAGGTAAATGGGGATCTTCAAGGTGACCTGTATCAACTACTTCCTCCAAGACATTCCAGACCGCAAACTTAAAAGTTTCTTAATCTTGAAGACTTAACTTGCAGGCAATTATCCGGGCTTTGAAACCTTTCATTTTTTAGCACACTGAAGTAGCCATTGGGCTACCAGTTCTCTATCGGTTACAGGGTTAGGCAGCAGGGAGAAGGTTAAAGATTCCCATAGGTACATTTTCTGTTGGTTGGTTGGTTGGTAGGTTGGTTGCTTGCTTGCTTGCTTGCTAGGTTGCTTGCTTGGTTGGTTGCTTGCTTGCTTGCTTGCTTGCTAGGTTGCTTGCTTGGTTGGTTGGTAGGTTGGTTGGTTGCTTGCTTGC